TTTTTTTTCCTCGTCTTCCTTAGATCATAGCTAGAATACAAGATTGATCATTACCGTGTTATTCGAATAATATTCCAGGTTAACACACGGCCCCACTCAGCTCGAACCAAACCTCTTGAAAAACCCGGATAATGAGCCCGTGATGCTCGTCGCTATTCAATGTGAGGTAACAAGCCAAAAGCTCCTCGAGCTCCTCCGGCCGCTTGATCCCTTGCTCGCAAATCATCTCAACCATCGATTGCCTAAAGTCTTCTCCCGGATTATAAGAAGTCTTAACCTCCGCAAAACTATCGTACATTGTCCCACCGCCCTTCATTATCTCCTTCTTCCTCGGCCGAATTTTCACTCTCTTCAGATCCTCGAGATCCCACTTTGGCGAATAATTATAACCACCATTCGCCTTCAAAGCTCGATTCTTTTGCTTCGTTATCCTTCTCTGACGGGACCTCATCGTCCGGGGTTCTGATTCATCATCACTCGTTTCGTCCGAAAAATCGTAGTCTTCCTCAACCGGGCTCGGGCTAAAACCGAAACCATCCGAGTCATCAGCCGGAGAATCTTGAAATCCTTTCTTCTTTCGGATTATTTTCCCTTCTTCCTCCACCGGAAATATAACTTTCTCAACCGGCTCGTCAGGCCTCCTCCGGCCCGAATTCCTCGGGCGCCTCCCGAGTTTCGGGCCGAAGCTCGGGAAGACCGGGATACGAGCCTCCTCGCCGGAGCTCGACGGAGAAGGTGGAATTCCGGTTATGCCCTTGGCGTGCTCGTCGTGAAAGGAAAGCCTCCAGTACGCGTCGTCATCGTCACCATCCACGCTGTAGAACCGAGCCTCTCGGGGGAATGACGGTTGGGCTGGGAAATCGGGTTTGGCTCGGTTCTGGGCTCTGGTCGGGTTCGGTTCGGGGCTGGTGGGCCTGGGCTTGAACTTGGAAAACCAAGAACCTGGGAAAACACTGTTGATTATGGATGCATGAGATGAAGGTGGATATTTTTTTACCCCACAATACATTTTTTTTTTTTTGGCTTTCTAAATCTAGATATATTAGGAAGTGTTTGTGTTTGTATTTGGGATGTTGTGAGATATCTGAGGTTTGATAGAGGCTTAAAGAAGATGAAGATGGAAATTGGGGGTTTTAAGGTAATTAGAGGGCCTATTTATTTATTTATTTATTTTTTTTCAAAAGAAAAAAACCCCGCCTTTTCAAAGTCTATTTCACAATAATAATAGGGCCATTGAAAAAAAAAATAAAAAAAAAATAGGGCAATTAATGGTCAAAAGAAGGATTTTGGAGAGTGATATAATTTGAAAAATTGGGTCCACAGATTATTCAACAATAAAAAAATAAAAAATAAATAATAAAAAGACATGTAGGATCGAATTTTTCGTACAATTCAATGATAAATATGATAGTGTTAGATCATCATCACGATTTGGTATCGATGCAAAATCAAGAAAAATGATCAAATATCTCATTGACAAAAGACTTATATCGATCTACTTTCATATTTTTCAACGCGCTATAATTGAAAAAAAAAGAAAAAAAAATGATAAAGAACGTTATTTCTTTTCGGCAAAATTGCAATTTTAGTCTCGATGGTTTGATTCAGTGGCATTTTTAATCCCAAGAACTGCACATTTTTGCTATTTGGTCTTATGATTTTAAAAGTCAATGCAATTTCAGTCATTTGAGACTGTAAAATGCAACAAAATTTATAATTACAAGACTTAAATTGCTAATAAAAAGTCTTTTGGATGGATTCTTGATTAGCAATTTAAGTCTTAAATAATTTTAAATTTTGTTGCAATTTCAGTTCCGAATGACTGAAATTGCAACAAAATAACTAAATTACAAGATCAAAAGATAAAACTTTAAAATCTGGAGACTAAAAATGCTGCAATATTAAACCAGCACGAATAAAAATGCAATTTTAATTTTTTTTTTATACCATTATTTTGACAAAGAGCACAAAAGCCGCTCTATGTTCCTCTATAAGTCTATTGATTTTAGCTATCCCAATGTGAATAAATAAAACAAAGTG